TAAACTCGGCGTCCCGAAATGACGGGGCGGAGAGGGGACCGAGGCGGAGCTGTGTCGCTGTCCGATTCCTTCGGTGCCCCCCCCGCCCGCTGGCCTCCGAGGCCGCCGTCGCCGCGGCGCCCGCGGCGAGGCGTCCGAGGATCGCCGAGCCCCTCAAAGGGCGGCTTCGGGACCTGGGCTCCGGAGCAGGAGGAGGAGGAGGAGGAGGAGGAGGAGGAGGAGGAGGAGGAGGAGGCCTTGGAAGGCCGAAAGGGGAGGAGTAAGACAGGGAGAAGAGGTCAGAAAGCTGGAGGGAGAGAGTGAGATGCGCAGAGAAATGCGCGGACAGGGAGAGAGAGGGGGGGGGGAGTCGCAGCGCAGAGGCAGGGTGAGACAGGATGGAGGGCAGGAAGGACAGCAGCAGGGCAATCAGCACAGCAGAAGTCATAGTTTACCAATGTGCACTCCGACGAGATGCCATATGTGAGGTGCACCGCTTCGGATACTGCACAAGTGGGGCAGCATGTGTGGCACATGTTAGGTGGGTGCAACGTTGCTGATGCACCGTGGTACAAGCTTTGTGGTGTAAGCGACGTGGGTCAATGTACCAGTGCAGTGCGTGTGGTGCATCCATGTGGTGTCTCCCACGTAGAACGGTCTGCGCCTGCATTTTCTTAACTTGTCACAGATATGTATATACATATGTATGTTCCCCATACAGTGCTTGTGCTTCGGGCGCTTTCACTCGTTACTAAAGCAGCTGGGCCTGCCTTGCCTGTCGGTCTGGCGGCCATGTTGCCGCCGTCGCCGCCCCGTCGCCGCCTCGTTGCTGCCTCGTCGCCGCCCGTCGTCTGGGCTTGTCTTTCGGTTTAGCGGCTGTGTTGCCGCCGCCGCCCCGTCGCCGCCTAGATTCATCGTATAGATTGCCCAACATAGATTGCACCACATAGGTTGCACCACGTCGATTGCACCACATAGATTTTTCAACATAGGTTTCACCACCTATGTTGCACCACACAGATTGCACCACAGCTATTGCACCGCAGATATTGCACCACATATATTGCACCACACGGATTGCACCACACGGATCACACGTAGTACACAACAGAGATACCACCACATGTGTTTCACCACAGCGTTTGCATCATATATATATTGTTCTTCAAGTGCAGCTCCACACACATTGCACAAACTATCTCGCACAACGCAGATGCCATCTCGCATATCGCACCGCATGGATCGCCTCGCATATCTTGCACAGCGCAGATTGCTAGACACACCATGTTTCGGGGCCACGCTGGCTGTCATACCCATATCGACACATACATATACATATATGTATGTACATATGTATGTGTATATATATATTTATACATATATATATATGTATGTGTATATATATATATATGTCTATCTATCTATATATATAGGCACGGTCCTCAAAAAGGTCATTTCTAAGGAACTTGGCCGTGTCCTCGGTCTGTCGGCTATGTGATCGCCGTCGCCGCCCCGTCGGTGCCTTGTCGCCGTCCGTCGTCTCCGTCGTTTGGGCCGTGGCTTCGGTCTGGCGGCTATGTGGCCACCGTCGCCGCCTTGTCGACGCCCGTCGTCTTGGCCTGTCTGTTGGTATGGCGGTTATGTTCCGCCATCGCCTCCCCGTCGCCGCCTAGATTCGCCGCATCAGATGCACCATATAGAAATTCTTTTCTGAAAGGAGGTTCAGATCTACCCCCCCCATCCCAGGTAGGCTGGTCCCCCCCCCCCATCCCTTGCAAACCAATCATCTGCGCGCACGTTCGCTGTTCAACACATCATCCGTATTCAGGAATCCCTTGCAACAAAAGCGAAGAGGCGCACACGCGCGCGCCGTCGCGTGCGCATGCCGAAATCTTGCAAACACTCTTCATTCCGCAAGGGCTCCAACATGGAATTCTTCGAAAACATATGACAACACACTGTTTCACAACAGCAGCTCTTGAAACAGACCTGCGCCGGGGCCCTTGCGAATTCTTAAGACATCCATCGGGTCTTCAGCGTGTGCATAACATGCTACACAAGGGGCGTCTCGCGTGCGCATGTGGCAGTCGCCGGGACGCTCTCGCGCGCGTGCTGTCGCAGGAATCCTTTTGCAGAAAACTGGGACGACGTGCGCGCTCGCGCGTCGTTCCGCGCACATGCCGAAATCTTCAAAAAAACCAGAGGTCCCCAAAGGGCTTCACAGACGAGCGTCCCGAAAGCAGATTTCAAAGACATTGGGTTTTTGCAGTAGCAGTTGTCAAGCATGTTTGGTCTCGCGGTATTGCGGATTTCGGGAAAACCATAGCTTTGGTTGTCAACATTCTCGCGCACCATGCCGAAATCATTCGAACGCATGTGCGCGCGTGCTGGGGAGGGCACGGTCCGTTTGGAATAATATCACGCGGGCCACTTGTGCGCGTCGGCCGCGCGCGTTCGTCGAAGTCTTTCAAGAGCCTTCATCACCAACGCGAGGACATCGCCATCGTTATCGGTGGGCGTGATCAACATCGGCGCCGTCATTGGCCTTGTCGTCGCCATCGCCACCATCATCGCTACTCTCATGATCGTGTCTGCCGTTGTCGGCGTCGCCATGATACCGCGCCCGCCCAATCACCGACTCGCCATGAAGCGCCCACTGGGATGTGCCGAGCAGTCAGCGCCACCGCGTTCGCGTCGGTCGCGCCAAACTAGCTGACCGCTGAACGCGCGAGCATGCGCGGGCTAGTGCGGCCGCAGAGATGCACCAGCCAACGCCAAGCATCATTGCAATCGCCGACGCATGGGATTTTCAAACCAAGTTGCGGGTGTGTGGGTGAAATGTTTGCGCGAGCAGTGGAATTGACAACATCAGGTTCGGCAGGGTGAATCGCACCACGTAACTACACCACGTCGATGGCACCACACAGATATTCCTTTCTAAAAAAAAGAATGGACTCTACCCCCCCCCAGAGTTAACGGGTCACTTTTTCATATAGCAATTTACGTGCGAGTCTTCCCCACCGTCCACCCTAACTGTGAATTCATATTACCCCAGCCAAACCGGCATCGTACCCCCATCCTTTGCAACAGATGCTGTGCGCGCGCACTCGTTTATCAGAAATCATAAGTGCCCGAGAACGCTTTGCAAAAGAAGGGAGCGCGCGTCGTCGCGCGCGCATGCCGAAATCCTTCGGGAACCTTCCGGGAACCTTCCGACAAGTTGTTTCGCAGCACGGATTTGTTAAAAACAATTTGCGCGCGTTTTTGCGAAATCTTGCGAAAACCATGGTTGTTTTCAATATTTGCAACACAACTGCTACCAAACGGGCTTCGCGCGCGCATGCCCAAATCTTTCGAACGCCCTTGAGAAACCTCTGCGAAAAATGAAACGAAGTGCGAACGCGCGCGTCGTCGCGCGCGCATGCCGAAATCCTTCAAACAACTTCGGTGTCAGAAGGGTTTCGAAATCGTGTGTCCAAAAATGCACAGAATCACCAGGTTTCGCAACACGGATTTTCAACTTGCGCGCGCGGTCTTGCGTCGTCGTCGTCGCCGTCCTCTCTCCTCCTTCGTCGTCGTCGTCGCCGTCGTCGTCCTCTGTCTTTCCTCGTCGTCGTCGTCGTCTTGGCGTCGTCGTCGTTTCTGTCGTCGTTGTCGCCGTGGTCGTCCTTCCTCCCTCGTCGTCATCGTCGGCGTTTCGTCGTTGTCCCTCCTATTTCGTCGCCGTCGTCGTCGTCGTCGTCGTCGTCGTCGTCTTCCCTCCTCCCCCGTCGTTGTCGTCGTCGCCGTCGTCGTCCTCCGTCCTCCCTCTTCGTCGTCGTCTTCGTTGGCTACGTCGTCGTCGTCTTCGTCGTCGTCGTCTTCGTCGTTGCCGTCGTCGTCGTGGCCGTCGTCGTCTTCGTCGGCGTCGTCGTCGTCGGCGGCGTCATCGTCGTCATCGGCGTTGTCATCTTCGTCGTCGTCAGCGTCGGCGTCGTCGTCGTCGGTGTTGTCGCCGTCGTTGTCGCCGTCGTCGTCGAAGTCGTTGGAGAGTCGCCCGCAACGTCTACTTTTGTCGGCGTTGCCATGATACCGCACCCGCCCAAGTCGCCGACTCGCAATGCAGTGCCCGCTGGTGTGTGCCCAACGATCAGCGCCACCGCGGCCGCGTCGGTCGGGCCAAACCAGTTGGCCGCTGCGCGCGCGCGTGCTTGAGTTGGCGCGGCCGCAGAGATGCACCGGCCAACGCCAAGCATTCATTGCAAGCGCCGGCGCATGGGATTTTCAAACCAAGTTGCGGGTGGGTGAGTGGGATGCTTGTAAGAGCGCGGGGTGTGTCAATTCGTTTGTTGAAATCAACTGCACAACACAGAGTGCCGCGCCTGTTGCCGCCGTTGCCGCGCTTGTTGCCGTGCGTCGCCGCCCCGTCACGTCCTCGTCGCCGCATGTCGTTTGGGCCGTTTTGTCGGTCGTTGCGTTTCGCCGCCCCGTCGCCGCCATCGGAGGTGAGGGGGTGAGATCGAAGTGGAACGGAGAGCCCCCCTACCGGGAAATCGATTTCGGTGTCGTGTTCGTGCGTGCCGTGCGTGCGGGCGAGGCGAAGCTGCGTGGGCGGGCGAGAGAAAGTCTCCTGTGGCTGAGGCGCGGCAGGACCAAATGTTCCCTTCCGGGCGGCCGGGGGCCCGCGGTGTCCCGCCGGTGTCCCGCTTGTGTCCCGTGTGAGCTGAGGCGCGGCCGGACCAAATGTCCCTTCCGGGCGGCGGGGCCCGCGGTGTCCCGCCGGTGCCCCGTCGGTGTCCCGATTATGGTGATGATATTGATGATGATGATGATGATGATGATGATGATGATGATGGTGATGATGATGACGATGTTGATGTTTGGTTTTGATGATCGATAGTGGGATCGATAGTGAGTTCGATGGAGAAATCGATAGTGACGCCGAATGCGAGATCGATTGTGATATCGATTGTGGTATCGATAGTGAGATCGATAGTGAGACCGAATGTGAGATCGATAATGAGATCGATAGTGAGTTTGATAGTGAGACCGATCGTCAGATCGAATGCGAGATCGATTGTGATATCGATTGTGAAATCAATAGCGAGAGCGAATGTGAGATCGATTGTGGGATCGATTGTGAGATTGATTGTGAGATCGATAGTCAGATCGATTGTGGGGTCTATCGATTGAGATCGATTGTGAGATCGGTAGTGAGTTCGACAGTGAGATCAATCGAGTGCGACGGTGGTCCTTCCCCCCCCCTCACCTCCTTATCACCCGAAGGGTGGTCTATGCGGTACGTCGATTGTTCAGCATATATCGGGCATCACACATTCGCCTTTCATTGAAAACCATCGAGTCTACCCCCCCTGATTATCGACCGCCCTGTTCGCATTGCAATTCACATACGATTTCGCCCCATCGTCCATCCGAAATATGAACTCGCACCATCCCAGGGGTGTCGGTATCCCCCCCCGCCATCTTCTGCAAAACATGCGATGCGCGATGCGCGCTTTCGTACATGAGAACCGATCAGTTTTTTCAAGAAACCCTTGCAAGTGGGACGAAGTGCGCTCGCGCGCGTCGTCGCGCGCGCATGCCGAAATCCTTCAAACACTTCCTTCGGTGTCGTAAGGATTGCTCAAGCGAGTGGCCAAAAAAACAGATGGTTGCGCAGCGCAACACGGGGGTTCAAAGACAAATTGCGCGAGCGTTGTTGCGAATTCTTGAAAAAAAAAACCATGGGTTATTCAGCAGCCTCCTCCCTCCTCATTCCCCCCCCCCCCCTCCTCTCGCCACCCGTCGCCTCCCCCGTCGCCTCCCCGCCCTCCTCCTCCCGCCGACCGACGGGCGGGGAGAGGGGGGGAGGGTTTGCGGGGGCCGCGGCGCGGCGCGACCCCCGCCGGAGCGCGCACCCCGCCGGCGCGCGCAGGCGGCCGCCGCGGCAGGACAGCCCCGCGTGAGGCCGCGCGCCGCCTCGACGCGTTTTTTGCAAATGCCCAAGCTGTCGCTCGGACACCCCCTGCGCAGCCCACCCGCTCCCAGTGGTGCTGCACGCCGCTGGCGCTGCCTCTGTGGGACAAGCGTGAGGTCGGGCCTGCCCCCCTACGGGAGGAGGGCTCCGAAGGAGTCAAACAATAGTCTGGGGACGATGTTCTGACTTGTTTTGGCCATTTGGGAACAGTTGTTGCGTTGGAGAGATGTTCGTCTAACATCCGCATGTAGGGGGACACGCCCGACCTAAGACCAGCGTGACGCTCCACTGTAGGCGCGTTGCTGTAACCTACCCCTCTTGCAGGCGCTCCCCCCTCCAATTCTCATTGTATCCCACATGCGTAACGAAGTGTCAACACCTCGGCGAGACCGAGACCACATCAAATGTCGCTTTTTCGGATGCCTGCCGCCTGGGAGGTGGATCTGTCTGCGTACAGCTTGAAGCAGCGAGCGCCGCAATTCAATCATCCCGTAACCCAGGCAACCCCCAGCAGGACTCGTTTCCTCCGATTCGATTCGACTCGATTTCGACGGCTTCCGACTCCGATCCGATTCGACTCCGGAGTCCCATCTGGATTCGGATTCCTTGCTGGAGGCATACTGGCCCGCCGCCGATGTCCGCCGAGTCGACTCCCCTCCGCTCGGCTGCCGATCTCCGCCGATCCGATTGATTTTGAGTCGGGCTTGTCCCTCTAGAGGGGGAAGATTCAAAAATAGTCAAACATACAGTCTGGAGACTACTTCTTTCTATTTTTGTTGGACCATTTTGGTATATTTGTTGAATACTTCTCATGGTTCGCCCAAAATCCCCCTGTAGGGGGACACGCCCGATTGGAGACTTACTTGGTTCGCCGATTCGACTTATCAGGAGGCAAAGAAACACAGAGACACAATTAATCTTAAATTCCCCAGAAAATATGGGAAACTATGGGACGTGGGGGGGAAGGCAGACACCCAGAAAGTATAGGAAAGGCTGGGGATCTGTTTGATTCGACTTATCTCAGGAGGAAAAGAAACACACAGACACAATGAATCCTAAATCCCCCAGAGAATATGGGAAACTATGGGACGTGGGGGGGAAGGCAGACACACCCAGAAAATATAGGAAAGGATGGGGATTTGTGTGATTCGTGTGTACTTCTTTGTGTATGTCCTGGGGCTCCTTCATTCTCGATTCGATGCCTCGGGCTCTGCTGCCCCAGGGCTGCGCGGCGAGGGCGGCGCAGAGCGCGCGCCGCGGCCCCGCGGGCCGCCGGGCCGGCCCATCTGCGGGGGGGGGCGGCCTCCGAGGGGGTCGCGGGGGCGGCCGCGCGAGGGTTGCGGCGGCGTGGCGGCGCGGACACGGTGGGCCCTCGCCTGGCAGCGCTCGGATCTGTGCATTCAAAGAAAACACGCACGAAACCGAGCACTGCATGGGACATGGGCGTCCGAGCGAGCTCGGGGGGCAGGGGCAGCGCTCCCCAGCGGTGGAGGGGCGAGTCCGGCTCCCCAGCGGCGTGGGCGCGGCTGGCGTGGTCACAGCTGGCGTGGTCAGAGATGGCGTGGTCACAGGGGAGGAGGAGGAGGAGGAGGAGGAGGAGGAGGAGGAGGAGGAGGAGGAGGAGGAG